TACTTGTTCTCCCCACTGTAGAGTTCAACATTCATAAGCTTCTTTCTGCTCATAGGTCAAACATTTTCACTTAAATAGGAGTATACTGTGTACATGACCTTATTAAAAGTTACAGTTTAGTGTTGTGTTCGGCTTTACCAAGTTTTTTCTCCATTTCATTTTTACAAATGAACACCCGCGGCAGAGAACTTTAATCAAGGTCTTTTTGCTTGGTTGTAGGAGACAGGATCTGGTTGTCCAAAACAAAAATAGGTTGTCTCGGACAACCTAAACAATGGTTATGTCTACCCCTGATGTTGGATTAATGTAACACTTTCCAGTTATTTATTTAAATCCTCCTAATCAGGTCTACACATTTCTGTTCTACTTTAGTACCAGCCTGCTGTAAAAACCAGCATCCTATGTTTTCTGAATGAACCTGTGAAAGTGTCTCATTAGACACAACTTGCACCTGAAAACAACATTCTTTGAGTTTCTCTGTTTGGACTACTTTCTAATATGATGAATGAAACAAGCATCTGCACCTGCAGGCCTCAGCTTCAGGAGGCCTAGATTTAAAGCAAGGAGTATTCTGCTGTCACAAGACTGGAGTACTGTGATTTACAGAACATGTTTTTACAAATTAATGTTAAATCTATGAAAGATCCTTGTCATTTGCTGGTTTTGTGAAACTAGTGAAGCTGGTTAAACAAGAGTGTGTGTGTGTTTGTTTGTTTTCAGAGGTTGATGAGAAGACGAGGCAGCTGATGTTACAAGGAGTCCCAGARCAATGCTGTCAGAGTTTCCTGTGGGACCGCTCTGTTCGTGATGATGTCACTGACAACAAGATACCCGAGCAGGTAATGTTAAAAATATTGCAACAAAAATKAGCTTTTTTTAAACTTTGAATTTACTCTGGGAGTTTTTCATTCATTTCCATTTATTTATTTATTTAAAAGGACAATGCACATTAATCAATATTTTGTGAATATAAATGTGCCGGAATTAAAACTACAGCTAAATTTCATCCGTTTTTCTTGTCTTAGCTACTCTTAGTGTGTTTCAAGCTTGAAAGTTTGCCTTGAAGCATTTTTGGTGTTCTGTCTAAAGGAGTTGAACCGTATGAGGAGTGAGCTGCTGGTGCCGGGCTCCAGGCTGAGCTCCATCCCCCCTCAGAGCCGAGTCCCTGTTTTACTGGTTCACCAGCCTGGAAAGCAGCTGGGAAATGAGATGTGCTCCTGGGGGTCTGGATGGGACCTGCTCGCTCCAAAGGGCTGGGGCATGGCCTTCTGGGTCCCACTGGTAGGTACCAAAGACTAATGGTATTATCTGACAGAATGTTCTGTTTTCTACCTCCCAGGTGTTCAGGAACAGTTCAGCTTCATTCACTGCAGCACGGTGCTGCAAGGTGCTGCACAGCTCGGCTCTTGTTTCATGTTGTTTGAATTAGACGTTTTGAAAGATATAAATGCAGTCTTTGCTCCAGACCAGAATAAACTAGATTATATTTGACCAGCAGATGCTTCTGGACTTGAAAGYTTTGGATAATCCTCCATTTTTTTGTGTGTGTGTGTTTTTGTTTACTGTCCTTTGGCCAAGAGCTGTGAACAATGACAGTAAAGTTTTGAAAGTTGATCTTTTAAGTTTGCCTTTATTACCAAAGCTTTTTGAAATGGTATCTCTGTTCCTGATGTGTTCGTCCTCTCTCAGGTGTACAGAGGAGTTCGTGTGGCGGGGCTTCACATGAGCCTGAAACACTCCCAAAATAAAGCTGTTCCTCACTTCCCCCACGACTATCCCGACTGCCCTGCAGGTGTTCGGTTTCAGGAGGAGCAGGAGGCTGAGTTCCTGGACAAATTCAAAAGGTCAGCAGAAGATTGAGTCTGGACTAAACCAAATCTTAATGTTAGATTGTGATGCAAARAAATTATTTAAAAGGCAGCATGTGCTGCCAAAGTTTTGTAATATTCAGACATATGAACAAAATATATAAGCCTGYAGATGATGGWAAGTGGACTGTACTTATATAGTATACCTCRATGTAGATGTGATCTGAGCAGCACTGAAGTTAATAATGTAATTGYTTAAAATTACAATAAGCTTATAAAGTTGATGTAATCACTGTTAAACTGGTTAGCAGATATTAGCTTCTGTAGTATATGGTTATAGAGTGTAGCAGTCTGCTGAATCATGCTACAGTTTAACACAAATTATTAAATATTACAGCTGATTACGCCTCTGATTTATGTAAGATTTACACATATTTAAGTATTTTTAGGTTTCTGTTAGACTAACCTGTCCTGTTGAGAAGACAGTTAGCTAATATCAGGAGAGACAAGTTTCATGCTGAAGTATCACTGGGTATACCGTGAACATTTTCTATCGACTGGTAAATGATTATTATTTTTGACAGTAAGAAATAGTAAATATACTTTATTACTTGATGAAGTTATAATTTTTCAACTAGCTTAAGTCTAAGTTACTGACTGACTTCAGGTCTTGTTTACATCATTATTTATAAATTATGTATATTTTTGGTATATATCTAGTTGTTAGTGATTGTTTAATGAAATTAACRTAATTCTTAATTTATATATTTTAGATATTTTGTGACACAGATCTCGTTAGGCTTGTTAACAGTTGCTATGATGGCAGTGAGCTGATGCCCTGTATGGTAGGGTTGGACAAAATTGTATCATGTGCAATTAATCATTGGAAAAACTTTAATTGATAATTTTTTGGCACTTGACGATTAATTCGATTAATGCCGCCAGGCAGACTGGAGATTTCCTCAGCCAGTCYGCTCAATGCTCCTCTCCGCTTCAAATATGCAGAGCGTTTAAAAAAARGTTCTGTAATGTATTGATCATAACTCTGGTTTTAATTAACACAATTAAAAAATTGATGTATAGCCTGAAATCTGAACTTCTGACACAATTTGGAACAGATTTTTATGGAGAGCAAATCTTTCCCACTAGAGTGATTTAAACTGGTCAAATGACTAGGGTATGAGGGCGTCCAGGGACTCCAGGTGATAAATCGTCATTAATTGTTATCGGCAAAATACCACAATTAATCGTGATTAATTTTTTTGCCAATATTGCCCAACCCTACTGTATGGTCACCATTTTTTGCTCCTCCATGTTGTCACAGATGTTAACAGAGGACAGGATAGGCGGGTCTCAGTCTAGTGTTATTTAACTCTATGCTCACGCTCAAGAAACTCCCACTTACTGACTGCAGAGACTCTTACTTGCACATTAGCAGAAGAACTTAGTCGCTGCTGGGTGCATAATACTCTCAGTTTTAGCTTTAATACCMCACCATACTCAGAGCTTTACATAACATTCATACATGGATGTGGCACATTGGAGGAGGGGTTCAGTGCCTTGCCCAGGGACACTTTGACTGTATACTGGTGGAATCAAACCTMTGATTMTTTTGTTGAAGGATGACTGCTCAAACCACTGACCCACACAGCTGCCCACTTCAAGTCTTTCATTAATCTGAGGGATTACCTTTCTGATATGTGTTTCCTAATTATAATTTATCTTGTGGCAAATKAAAAACAAAAGCTTTTTAGTTTAAAGAAGGTAACGTGAATGCAACTGCATAGAAACTAAAAACTGTTTGAATAAGGTAACAATCACTAATCTGCAGCGTTAATAACTCCTCAGGTTGTAATTAGGTTAGTTTGTTTTGTTTCATTGTAAATTTATTTAACTCTGACTCATAAATCTAAAACGGTTTTTCTTCCTCAGTGTGCTGATGAGGTGCTACAGGTTCTGTTTGTAGACTCAGAGGTCACAAACGCTGTCACAGTTTCTCCATCATTAGACAAAGCTTTGACCTTTTAACCTCTCCTCAGGCGTCCGCCAGCCAAAAGGACCAATTACATCAAACATGGCTGCCTGGCTCCCTTCCGTTGCCCCTGGCAACAGCTGGCAGAGGAGTGGGAAGACGGGCAGATCCAAAGCACAACACAAACAGGTGTTTCCGTGACCGAGGAGATGACATCACAACAAAACATCGCCACGACTAAAGCTCCGAGCAGCTTTGTTGTTCTGAGGTGAATGTTTGTTGTTTACTGTTTGTTGGTTGTGTAAACATTGGTACAGATGGTAAACACTCCCTGCAGTGTCTGTTCTACGTTTAAAATTCACAAATTTAAATCACTCCCCTAATTCTTAACCACCGCTGGACAAAAGTAATGTTTTTTTTCTGTTAGCAAAATATCTYATGTTCTATCAAACACATTTTTATGAAACGGTCAGGTAAACATTGTTGGATGTAAGACAACATGTGGAGCCAAACCCATTTCAAAATCGCCGCCACGTCTAACTGAACTTAGAAAACACAAAAACATTGTAATTTTAAAGATATTAGATTAAAGGAGACATTTGATGCTTTTAAATCCTCCTTTTTCACATGTAGATCCTTCGGTTGCAATGTTTCGGTCTGAATTCCTCTTTATTTTAACTCCAAGCCCCGCCCCTTTTCTGATGTGTCTGATCAACTCATTTTGAGGCTGCCTCTTTAAATCCAAACGAGGTGTTTCACACCCCGTCCTCCTCCAGCTTCCAGAGCGGTCCTCTCTAGGTTGATTTTAAAAAGCAGCACAGAAACAAAATGACCTGCAGCTCCGTCAGTCTTCCAGATGTTCAGTGTAGTAGAGCTGAGAGGCGTTCACTTGTACTCCGAGAGCAACATCTTGTGATGTTGGATGAGATTWTGCATAATGTTGTTTTCAAGGTTGGATCAAAATAGCTACAACTCACAAGATWTTATTTAAAACTTTGGCATTAAAGGGACATTCCCTCAGCAAATACTGCACTTTTCATTTTAATGTTGCTGACTTTTAAAGGCCCTTTGAGCAGAATATGCCTCTAATCTGAGGATACCCACAGCACATCCAGCCTTAAATTGCTGCAATACATCAGAGATTAGCAGAAGGGAAGAGCAGCATCTATCTTCATGAAATCATCCCACAAGCTTTAACTAATGTGAATGACTTCACAAGGAAACATCTGACAGATTTTTTCACAGGCTATTAGCTACATCTGTATCTCTGTCAGGCATCTAATGGGGCAGATGAAAATGTATTTTTGTATCCTCTCAGTGTTAATCACCTGTTTTAAGCAGATCCTATTTTTTATTTGCCTCTCAGGAACAGGAAGTCTCTGCGGCTCCTGTCTGCTTGGTGCAGACCCTCCACATCCAAAGGCCAGAGGCAGTGTCGTGTTGGGAAGGTGCCACCTCTCAGCCGGCCCGCAGTGACRGCTTTCCTCGCAGCTCACGGATCCAGCCTGGTGTGGGTGCGCCTGTCACTGCTGGCGAAGGGCAAACCGGAGATCCACGCCATGGTGTGTGTGCCGACCGCAGAGGACCTGAAGCTGCTGGGCAGAAACCCAGTGAACGGGGGTCCTCAGGAGCTCCCACATAAAGACCATTTCAAATGCAGAATCAAACGTCAGAAAAAAGGCTCCAAGAAGGCGACTGCTTTATCTACTGATGACCCCCGAGTCAAAGGATCAGACCCTGCTCCTGTCCCAGTCACATCCTCAGATCCCCAGTCGTCCTCAGACCTGATCTTTGGGCTGTGGCCAGACCCTCTGCCTCGTGTCACGTCTCAGTGCTCCCGGGTGACTCTGGGCTGGGTCACTCAGGGGGACTTCTCCCTGTCTGCAGGCTGCGGGGAGGCGCTGGGCTTCGTCAGCGTCACYGGTCTCCTCCACACCCTGCTGCAGCAGCCGGAGGAGCAGAGAGGAACTCTGCTGCTGCGCAACCCCAACTCCCTTCTTTACCGACTCACWAAGGTCAACATCGAGGTGTGACTCAAACACTTCAAGCTACAGAGAACTGGAGCCTAAATACCAAATAAATAAATAAATGCTGCAGGGTTAACGGAGCGAGTTCTGCAGTGGCCTGAAGGTGCAGCCAGTTACACTGCATGAAGCTTAATGTAAAAACCCTGTGCCTTTGCTGATGACACACATCCTTAGTGTTACAGCTGATCTGAGTTGTTGATGCAGAATTGTAATTTCTTTGATCATTAGATTTAATTTTAAAAACGGATACTGCAAAATGGATGATTAATCTATTTTTATTTTATACYCCAAAAACAGGAAAGCATTTCTTTTTATTCTTTGTTAAACCAGAAGTTAACACAGCTATAGTTAGATAACTTTAAAAACAGGCAGCTGCCTGTAAATAAATGCTAGCTAACTGCTTTTGCATTTCTTTAAATGACAAACTATTTTATCATCGTAGCTAGTCTAATTTCTTCTAAATTTCTTTTAGCTCCACCTTAAATGGTCTGATAATGGAATAAACATGTTTTACTTTATAACTAGCTAACCAGGCAGCCACAGTAAACACTAGCTAACTAGTTTGACATTTTATTAGCAGGTGTCAGCTGATGATTCAAACTGTTTCCTGGAGATGCTGCTGCTTTTAGTGCATGAAGTCTTTCTCCAGGAGGTCCACGGTGAGGAACTTGAAGCAGGTTCTAAAGGAMGGCATTGAGTTATCATGATGACAATGTTAAACTTTCAGTGTAACAAAAATAAAAAAAGATGGGACTGTTTTTCTGTTTTTGGAGTATGAAATGAAAAATAGAATAATGGTCTGTTTTTAAAGCGAAAAAACAAACGATTGAGTACACGGACATGTCTCCCTGGGCTGTGGCTGTTCTGACCTGTTTTCATGTGCATGGCTTTTGTTTTCCAGAAGATTCACTTTATTTTGACCAGCCGTGACCCACTTTGTTTTCACCGGGAGATAACTACCTCCACCTTCATGATTTAAACCAGTCAAATATCTTTACCACCAGCTGGAGTGCTTGCTGTGACCTAGTATTTACAGGGTGTTCTAATCTAAAGGACATTATTTTACTTGTTTTACGTTTATCAATAGAGTTTGAGTTCTTGAAATTCCTTTCATCAGTGAGAATTAAATGCAGAAACACATCGGTCTTTGTTCACTGCTGCAACAAAGTGTTTTGTTTGAGTATCATCCAATAAAAAGCTGAACATATGTCTGAATACGGCTCTTACTGTTACACAAGAACAAAACTGTACTTACAAATAAACACCATATACTTAAACTTTCACTCTTATAGTTCTGCTGGCATGCGCTGCGGATCCCACACATCCCATAATGTGTAGGTGGCAGAGAAGAGTTGTGTTGCGTGGCAACAGTACAGTTTGGTAGCTGTTTGTCTCYGGTATGCAGTCTGAGTTTGAGGTGAAGATGGGCGGTGAAGCCAAGAACTAATGCTTTTAAGACAAGCTGTAATACAGCTTAGAGAGGAAGTTCAGTCGTGTTTGTGTACTTTACCTCAAAATGTCAAATTAAAGTGTTAGCCACTTCAAATAACAAGGAATAAGAAGAAAACATTACTTTAGAGACATTTTTAATTTGATATTGACTTTAGATCTGACAATAAAAGGTCCAGATAAGTCCCTCCACCACCTTTAGAGGGCAGTAGTGCACTTTATTTCTGTTGCCACTTTTATCAGCTGTTAATAGAAATCTATTTGGTTTGTTCATCTGATAATCGTCCGGGTAAACCAAAATGTTTTTTTAAATTGTCTCTTAAAATAAGTTACTGGATGTGATGCTGCAGTTTTCTCCTGAGGTTCATCTCATTTTGGAGCAAGCTTTTCCTCGTGACATTTTTCTGACAGTGGTTAAAAATAGTGCTGAGATATAGATATTTGTTCGAGAGCACATTTCTTGTCACTTCTGTTTATAAACAGAGTATGTTGAACCCAGGAACAGACACACACACACATACACACACAGACTAAAATAGCAGTCCCAACAGATGGAGCTGGTTCTACGAGTCGTCTGTTTGGCCAGCTCGGTTGCACATGAGTTTGGCTGCCAGGGATCCGTATGTCTGAGTCTTTGCCTCCGGCTGCACTTTGTCAGTGCGACTTCTCCCTGTGAACACGGACAGCACAGCTCATTAGACGGACCCTTCTGCCGTGGCTGCAGACATTTACAGTCAGCTCCAGGGTCACCGCTGCTTAACTTGTTCCATCTCTGCCTGGGTCATTTGACACAGCACAGTTTTGTGAGGAGAGATGAATTTAAAAAAATAACGTACCAGGAATCTTATCCATTGCAATAAAATTGCGATCTTGTTGCTTTATCTTTGGTCTGTTTCGGGCAATCAGGAAGACTCCAATAAAGGACAGAAGACAGCTGGAAGAGTTTTATAGAGGGTTAACCTCTCCTATCACTGATTACAATACAATATAAGCTGCAGTCATTGAGGAGAAAAAAACTTACCCAAAAAGGAAAATAAAAATATTCAGTAAAGCCAAACCTTCAAATTCCTGGTAAAATATTATACCTGCAACATAAAAAAACACATTAAACGCATTTCCCTTACAGAAAACACAGTTTATCTCTACGGCTCTTTTTGTAAAAGATGTCTCTGTACGTTAGCGACACTATTATCTGCAGGATTCACAGACAATATCTTCACTTTCCTTTTGTACTTTTACCACAAATCGGCTGCTGGAACAGAAACATTAATTTTCTTCACAGTGGAGCTGAACTAAACCTGAGAGAAATCACAGCTGATATAAAAACATCAGCAATTTGTGTTATTTGCATCAACATACAGCAACAGTAAAAAAAAAACAAAACTTTTACAAATAATTAAAAAGACATTTTTTTGACTCTGTTCTTTCTGGGATTGTGGCATTTTGAACCTAAATGCTAGAAAGAAGCCGTTTCACTCAAAAGCACAGCTCCAGCTGATATTTTCTCTTGACGTTCAGGACCGGAGCAACATTCACTGAATTGTTGTTGGAACCAGACATATGTTATGTCAGGGTAAGAAGAGCAGTTTAGCAAAGCGACAAACACTTACGCCMCTAAATAAAGGTTTTAAATTGTGACAAAGTGTTTTGGTGGTATTTTGTCCTTCAGAACCAAACTGCTTTGAAGAAATCTTTCTTATTTTCTGGACTTCCTGACAACATAATACCACCCTGACATGGCACAAATCACTGACTTATAAATACCTTGAATCATTGTTGAACAAGGACTGTTCAGTGTTTGACAGATGGAGGAAATCACTGCCTGGACTACACATTGTTAGTGTGCACTGTAGGTTTGACAGTGTTGCATCAGGAATTGATTTCAGCTTTTGTGACTCATCATGAAGCGAGTGAATCTGAAAAAGTTGGTGTTGGCAGGAAAGAATCGTACAAATCTTACAGGATGAGGTGGTTTGTTCTGAGTTTCTGAACCAACTCTGGCAACATTTTACAAAACCTGCTTCTGACTCTTGTCATTGGTTTTCATAGAAGTTGAGAATTTACTGAGTTCTTTAGACCTGTCACTGCAGGATCTGTTCCAGAAGCATGATCCGTATCATCAGCTCATTTGCACGTGAGCTAAGAGATGTACTTTTGAATTACCGGTTAATGCGATCGATTTAGGAAAAAGTACTGGAAATAATTATTTCCA